AGTGCGCCACGGGCTTGGCCCAGTATATTTGGTTTCTAAGTCACTTTTATCTTATTCCTGAAGCTCTGAAAGGTTTCTAGTTGTAGGAAGCTGAATTTGGCCTATAGGAAACCTCATTGTGCTCCTAGATTTTCCTCTCATTTCCTAAAAATGGTTTCTTTTGGAAATGGGATCCATATAATTATCAAATCTTATTCATTGTGTCCATGTGTATGTGGTACTGGAGTCGCACTAATCTGGCAGAGTTTAAAGTTCCAGTTTCTAAGAAACTAAGTCTGTAGGAAAGTTTCAATGATGCTGATAAAGACTCAAAATTTTAAAGTCTCAGGGGACCTCTGACTCTGTTTTTGGAAGGATTTTAAAAATATTTTAATCCTTAAAAAATCTTTTAATATAGTAAAATTTCAAAATTACATGAAAGAGAATAATACAATGAAACTTTCATGTACCTAGTACCTTAGATCTGGGCAAGAAAAACCCTTGCCTTGGGCCCCATGCTTTAGAAAGTCCTGCTCTGGCTCTCTTCTGATCATGCTGCTCCTCAGGGGGAGAGAACCACCTCTACAGGGCCAAGGGGATGTATGCCTACTTGGAGTCTAAATCTCCCCTTCTAGACTTTGCTCCTTGTACCTGGAACCCTGGAATTCTCTGTCCTAATGGCCTCATGCCTTCTTCCATGGTCTGTGTAGTTCTCTTTCTTAGGTCTGTCTTCCCAAGAGTGGACTGCCTTAGCACTGCTGGGTTTGAAGTGGCTAAGGGGAGGCTCTTTAGATCTTGGACATGTGGTCTGGGATATCTACATGTGTGGCCTTTCCCAATATTCTCTTTCTTAGGTCTGTCTTCCCAAGAGTGGACTGCCTTAGCACTGCTGGGTTTGAAGTGGCTAAGAGGAGGCTCTTTAGATCTTGGACATGTGGTCTGGGATATCTACATGTGTGGCCTTTCCCAATAAGGGTGGGAGCTCGGGATGAGAGAAGGCTGGGCCATGGACTGGGGCTGGTTTTTCTCATGCTGCATATCAAGGAATCTGAATTCTGAATGAACCTGGCTTTCTCAGTCATGAAGGTATACTAGTCAAGGTAAGAGGATAGAACATATATCACAATTTATTAGTTTGATTTAAAATTTATAAATGTTCAGACATGTTTAGTAGACCTGCTTTTGTACTCTTATCCTGGGTCCTGCAAAAGTTAGGTTTGGGCCTGCACATTCCCACTGGGAGAAATTTTAAGGAGTAATTTAATCCCACAGCTTAGAGATCATTAGTTTGCAGCCCCATTTTAAAGGTAAGGACAATGTAGCTCAGAGAGGGGATGTGTCTTGACTGAGGTCATCTGCTGAGAAGTGGTGGAGCTGAGCTAGAGTTTGTGTCTCCCAGTGTTAGGTTAGAAGTTCTGTTTCTCTCTTGCTTCATTCTGCAGAAACCATGTTAGGTTATTCATCATAATGTTTAACTAGAGGTTGCCTGCCTTCCCTTCCTAGTGTGCTACCTGTCTTCCTCTATACTTGATTAGTGTGGGTCCCAGGAATGCTAGCTTCTTTTTTTAATCTGGAAAATTGAAAGCATATACAAAGGTTAATAAGCCCCCATGTATCCATTACCTAACAATTATCAATTTATCATCAATCTTGTTTCATCTATACTGGACCCTCCCAAACTAGGTTGTTTGAAGCAAAGCTCATTTTATCCATATATATTCAATATACATCTCTAAAAGAAAAGTATTAAAAAATAACCACAAATTATTTCATATCAAAAAACTAATAGTAGTTTTATATCATCAAATATCCAGGTGTATTCAAATTTCTTTGTCTTATTAATTTTTTTTATACTTGATACACTTGAATTAGAATCCAGACAAGGTCCATAAATTGCATTTGGTTGATATGTTCTAAAGTCTCTTTTAATCTATAGGTCCACCTTCCTTTTTTTTTCTGTTTCTTTTCTTATAATTTATTCGTTGAAGAAACCAAGTCGTTTGGTCTAAGTTTTGCATATTCTGGATTTTGCCAATTGCATCCCCATGGTGTTGTTTAACATGTTTCTCTGTTTATTTAATTTCCTGCAAGTTGTTGCTTGTATCTGGAGGCTTAAGCTGATTCAGTTGCTTTTGGCAAGAAAATTTCATAGATGGCATTATGTACTTCCATCAAGAGACCCATAATGTGTGGTGTCTCTTGTCTGATCTTAGTGGCCAGTGATGATCCTTGCCTGATTTTTATATATTGATCTTGTATCCTGCACCCTTGTTAAACTTGTTTATTAGTACTAATAGTTTTTTAGTGGACTTCCTAGGATTTTTTTTATGTACAAGATTATGTCATCTGTAAATAGAGATATTTTAATCTGATGCTTTTCATTTCTTTTTCTTGGCTAACTGCCCTGGCTAGAACCTGTAGTACAATGTTGAATAGAAGTGGTAAGAGTGGACATCCTTGTCTTATTCTTGATCTGAGGGGTATATCATTCAGTCTTTCACCATTAAGTATGATGGTAGCTGTGCAATTTTTATAGAAGCCCTTTATTAGAGCCAGCTCCCTTCTGTCCCTAGTTTGTTGTTCTACCCTAGAGTGGTTTATTTTTGTTTGTTTGTTTTGTTTGTTAACCATAAAAGGGCATTGGATTATTTATATATTATTATTATTTTACATTCTAAGATGTTGTGGAGCTGTGGGAGCAGGAGGAAGAGGGGGAAGAGTGAGGTGGAGGGGCAAGGGGCTGGCCCAGGGCTGGCTCCTTTGCTGGCCTGGTTGTGGATGGTGGAGGGGCATGGCTGAAGCCCTGGTGATGGGGCCCCCCCACCTGGGCTCAGGAGCCTGGGGGACTTCCAGCAGCTGCTCAGTGGTCACTGGACTGGATGTGGAGGTCAGGGGTGTGGCTGAGGCCCTGGGCAGGGTCCCCCCACAGGGGCCCAGGAGCCTGAGGGGCAGTGGATTTCGTAAATGCTTTTTCTGCATCTATTATGATGATCATGTATTTTTGGCTTTTATTGTATTGATATGGTATATTATATTAATTGATTTTTGGATGTTAAATCAACCTGCATTTCTGGGATAAATCCTACTTGATCATGTGTAATTATTTTTATGTATTGTTGGGTTTGGTTTGTTAGGATATTTTGCATCTATATTATAAGAGATATTGGTCTGTAATTTTCTTGTGTTGTTGGTTATGGTATTAGGGCCTCCTAGAATGAATTGGGAAATGTTCCCTTCTCTTCTGTTTTTTGGAAGAGTTTGTGAAGTGTGGGTATTAATTCTTTAAATGTTTGGTGAATTTGTCAGTGAAGCAATCTGAAGCTGGGCTTTTCTTTCTGGGTAGTTTTCTTATTTCTAATTCAATCTCTTTATTGTTGTAAGTCTATTCACATTGCCTGTTCTTCTTGAGTCAGTTTCTGTAGTTTGTGTGTTTCTAGGAATTTGTCCATTTCACCTAAGTTGTTTAATCTATTAGCATATAATTAATTGTAGTATTTTTTATACTACAAATAATTTAATTTATATTCTTTTTATTTCTGTGAGATTGGTAGTAATGTCTCTTCTTTTATTTCTTTTTTTTTTTTTTTTCCTTTTTGTCTTTTTTCGTGACCGGCAATGGATCGCAACCCTCAGTGTCGCGCCCGTACCGGACCGGGACCGGCAACGGGATCGCAACCCTCGGTGTTGCACCC